GTGTTGAAAATTCTTCTAACAGTTTAACGAACTTTAAATTTTTTTAGAATAATTTTTATTACCGGTAAGTTTGCATAGGTAGAAATTTGCCCAAATCTTACCTATTTCGAGAATTTCTGGATGTCGTTCAATAACTCGCATTAGAATGCCATTGATATATACCCGCAATTTCTGATTGCATACTTCTTGTTCGCGAAGTGCTTCCAATATCTAAACTTGGTGAATACCCAAAGTGAAAAATAACCCATATATAAATAAGCAAGGAGTTAGCACATACCTGTTGAGTATCGCTACCTCCACTCATAAGCTCATCGGCCAGGGAGGGTTCGTCGGCAAGCAGACTTCGTCCTCTTTCCACGCTGGCCGCCAACAGCTGAGCTTGCAGATCGTCGCGTTCGCGCTGCAAATCGCGAATATCGGCGCGAGCCTGCTCCAATGATTCTTCGAGGTCGCTCATCTGAAACAGTAGCTTTTCACTTCAAAAATCATAACATTATCGATATTTAATATTTTGCCATGTTTCCTTGCAGAAACTAATATTATCAAGGTAAAAAAGGATTGCTTATTCGTTACTCCGATGGTTTAAAATTAGCTAAGAACTTTCCCTACCTGTTCAACAATGGATCCTTGCCGTGGAGGTCCATTTCGACGCAATTCTTCCGTCTGTTGGGTGAGCACCTCGACCATCTCCGAGCTGCTGTCAATATCTTGTTGAGCTTCCTCTTTAAACCTCTTGAATTGCCTTTCCAGCTTGATTCGCTCTTCTTCAAGGTCTTCCACCAGCAGTTTACTCTCAGTCAGCTGCCCACGCAGTTCTTCTACAGTTGCTTGCATCTTTTGCGTCTCTTCTCGAGCTTTGTCCGCTTCCTTCTTGGCAGTTTGTAGATCTTTTTCGAGCATCTAAAGAGCAACAGCTTAAAAATGAAGGATACAAAAGTTAAATGAGGCTTTTACCTGATATTTGAGTGTGAGACTCTCCGTCTCTAATTGTTTCTCTCTTTCCATTCGTTGTAAAAGTTCTCGAGTTCGATTCTTTTCCTCTTGTATCTGTTCTCGATACCTGGAAATATCCGAATAACCGTAAATTATGTCTTTAAGATTTTTAAAGAAAAATCGTCAATTGCAGAAGAACAAAAATAATACAATAATCAAAGCTCTACCTCTGCTCTGCGACCAGCATTTGCTCTTCTAACACATGAACTCGTTCTGTGAGCACAGCATTTTCTGTACGTAGACGACCTCGTTCATCATTGCTGTGCAATTGTTGTTCTTCCATTTCAGATAATTTTTTCGAGATCATCGTCACCTGAAAAGACGAAGTGAGTAGTTTTAATATTTCTAAGAGGAGTGAAATTTGCGTGTTTACACAATAGCAAATTAAAATTTTGAGTGTGTACAATCATTCGTTCGTTATTGATTGATTAATTGATTGATTCACTCATTCATCCATTCATTCATTCATTTCACACACTCATTCATCACTCACTCATCAATTACTCAATTTTTCCTTCTTTCACTCAGACACTCAAAGAAAAAAGCTCAAAGAAACCTTTCTGTTGAAAGAACTGAAAGGCAAGACGCGGCAGTAGAATTTGCTGATAAGCTGTCAATTCTCTGGCAACGCTGCATGAAAGGGCGGAAAGAAAATCGATGCCTATGGAAAGATCTAGAAACTAAAGAGGAAAATATGAGAATCACAGAAAATATTGCATTCACCTCTGTACTGAGGAGAAAAGCGCGAAATTTCTCGTAATTTGGTTGTGCTAACAGTGGATACTAAGGTTATTTAATTTGTGCGGAAGCTCTTCTTACAATATTCTTCAAAAAATCATTTCAAAACAGACAGTGGTAGAGAGAAAATGACGGGCGGGATACGAATGAGCAGAATTTCTGTGAATATGAAGGAATACGAGAGGATTCGAATACTATTAAAAACGATCATCCGCTAGTTCCCATCTATATCATTTTTTAATGATATGCATCATTTTCCATAAATAGTTAGAAGCCAAGAATAGAAAAAAACATCTTCACATGTGCGCACAAAGGAAACAATTTTGAGATATTGCAACAGCCTCTGTTGTCATCTCTCACTTTTTCTTTAAGATTTTCTCAGCAGGGACAATTTTTTCTATCGAGTATATTGATTCACAATTCTAAAAGATAAGCGTGCTGGAAGACTAGTTGCGGAATTTCGTCAGCAGAAGTTGCTAATCTAGTGATTTCTAACAAATGCGACAGAACAACTGCTTCTACAATGACAAATGACAGTCTGACAATATATATGTCTTCAAAGGTGTATGAAAACTAGAAAACGAACTAAATTCCGCAAAAGATTTGAAATCAATAAGCAACGAAGTGTTTCTTCGACGGTTGTGGACGAAAACACCTAATACAACTAGTTTGACAGACAACTATGGCGCAAACAAGAGTTCGAAGGTGTGTGAGTGGGTGATGGTGAGTTTCAATCGACAATACTAGCTGTTCTCAATCGGACGGAATAAGGTCGAAATCGAAATCGATTGATTGGAAAATGTTTCGGATAGCTATTACCTTGCGAACAGAAGAAAAACCAAAGCATTCTGAGAAAATGTGTCGGCAGAAAATTTAGCCATTCACTTGACGGATTATTACACTGCACAAGAATCATTTATAACCCT